CTGCTGCTCGGCGGCCGCGGCCCCGAGCCTCCTGTTGCTGGACTACGAAGGGTCGGTGCTGCCCTTCCTGGGGGGCCTGGGCGGGGGATACCAAAAGACGCTCGTGCTGCTCACCTGGATCCCGGCGCTGTTCATCGGCTTCAGCCAGTTCTCGGACTCCTTCCTCCTGGACCAGCCCAACTTCTGGTGCCGCGGGGCCGGCAAGGGCGCCGAGCTGGCGGGGGCCACTGTCACCGGCCGGTGGGGCGACATGGGCTGCTGCCCTTCCTGGGGGGCCTGGGCGGGGGATACCAAAAGACGCTCGTGCTGCTCACCTGGATCCCGGCGCTGTTCATCGGCTTCAGCCAGTTCTCGGACTCCTTCCTCCTGGACCAGCCCAACTTCTGGTGCCGCGGGGCCGGCAAGGGCGCCGAGCTGGCGGGGGCCACTGTCACCGGCCGGTGGGGCGACATGGGCAACTGGACCAGCCCCCCGACCACCCCCTTCTCCACTGCAGCCTGGGGGACCACGGGCAATCGCAGCAACGGCAGCAGTGCGGACAGAGGCGACACGCCACCCCTACCGTCCCCTCCGGACAAGGGGGACAACGCCTCCAACTGCGACTGCCACGCGTGGGACTACGGCATCCGCACCGGCCTCGTCCAGAACGTGGTCAGCAAGGTAAGGGCAGTGACCGCCCCAGCTCCGTGTCCTTCTGAACCCATACTCCTCGGTCACCTCCACCGTGGTCTGCATCCCTCTGCGGTGCAGGCCGAGGTCAAGCCCTAGCCTCAAGTCCCCAAAGTGGGACGAGTCTGTGTATACGTGCATCCCTCATGGGTTTGATTTACTTCCGTCCCACGAACGAGATGCGTTAACTTGGGTGAGAATCGAGGGCTTTTTGCCGCCTTCCTTGGAGACGCGGAAACCCGACCCTGCAAGGGGCACCATAGACCTTCCTTGGTTCGAACCCAAACTCCGGTCCCAGTGCATGTACGGAAGGGCGCCCCTCCCCCAACCGGAGAGGTGTCACCCTCACTCAGGCAGGGGTGGCCCACGTGGAAGGTGAGGCCGACGACCTGTCACCAGCCAGCTCTGTTAGACTGGCCTTGCTCAAGGTCTCCCAGCGGGAGCCAGGACTGGCCTCTCTTCTGCTCGGCCGCGTTGTCCCTGTGTCTCCCAAGAAATAACTATCCAAGAAAATAGTGCCCCGTTCCCAGACGCTCCTCTCTGGCAGACTCTAGCTATCCCACCCATGGTTTGAAAACTGACCAAAACCCAATTAAGAACAGAAGTGGTAGCCAGAGAAGCCAAGGGTTTTGGAAAATCCCACCTCTGCCTCTTCACTTTCAGATCTCTCCAGAGATGTTTGACTTTTAGTCTTCGCTGCCTAGTTCCTGTGGAGGTTTTTTTCAAGGCTTTAGTAAACATGACTAGCTATAGGAAGGAGGCCAGCATGTGCCAGTATGTCCAGGCCACCGCTGCTTTTCCTTGACCACTGTTTTGGTCTGCCCCACAGAGACCCTTGGTAAGCCTTGAACATCCTCCCTGTTCCCAGCTCACCTTGCAGGGGATTGCTTTGTGTGAAATAGCAGGAGTGTTTGTGAGAGGTGCCTGGTGGCCTAAAAATGGAGAATGATCCATGTGAGACACTCAATATCCTAGACAGCTATACTTCCCACGATTTTCTTAACTTCCACGGGGTCTTCAAAAAGTTCCTGGACAATATGTATTATGAAAACGGTGTGCATAGATTTCCATTTCTTTTGGCTCGCGAGTTAAACCGATACTTGAATTAATTTTCCCACCAACTTTGAAGTCCCCATTAGGAGAGGGTTGCCAGTGTATCAAGCACTTTGTGATATTTGCCTCAAATAATTCATTTACATTTCAAAGTAACTGTAGATGTGTTTTCTGCTTCTGGGCAGAGTTTTAAATGCTTGATCTACATAGGAGAATGAAATTTGACAGTGTATACACGTCAGTGTGCACGCAGCTCCCTCCCCCAGGTGTGTGTTAGTAAACAGTAGTAGCTCATAGATATGTACGATGAAACTCTTACATCATCATAATCATTGTTTTAATCTTGCACCTACCTGGCCCGAAGTGATCTGTCCTATGGGAACAGCCTGGCTTAGCTGTCTCTCTGGCTTGCAAAATAATGGGGGAGATCCCCTTAGCTTGGTTCACCTCGGATCTCACATCCCACCCCACCTTCAGCCCCTCACCCTCCAACCCACCCAAGACAGCGTGTCCTTACCATAGGTGTTTGGTGACATTTCCCTATCCATGGAAGGCAATGTTTCTTTTTGGTTTTGTGACATAAAAAAAATGAAGAACAATGCCTGCTTAAATTGCTTCGTGTGTCTATCAGACAAAGGGTAGACAACATTTGCTAGTATTTTAAGCCCCTTTCTAGAGCAGAGGAGGGATAATGGAGCAAAGTGAGTATGTGAAGAGGGCACCTTGTCTTGGGGTCAAAGAAAAGGGGACTTGAAAGTTAGGAGGTAGGTGGAGCATCGCCTTAATGGTGGGGACCCAGGAAACAACCCTTCGCACCCCGCCAGACCTGATGGAGGAGAGAAGGAGAAGAGTTCTTGAAAACAGACTACACAGGCATATTGCAGAGCTAGGCAATTTTTTTTTTATTTTCTAAATTAGCACTGAAGATGCTCACAGACAGTGCCCATGGGTGTGGCATGTTTTGGGGTGGTGCTTGATGTTCCATGTTGCTGACAGGACAAAGCTAAAAGATGAAGGCCTGAAGACAATATTAGAGACACATTTTCTTACACCGTAAAGACTCCAAAGGACCTATCGATTTGCACGACACCTATGTCTAAATAAAGAACTGTCCTTCCACCGTGCTCTATCCCATAATAAATGCTATGTACAGCTTTTCAAGCACATGTTGGCTGTCCTGGGACAGACTTGGCTGCAGCAGGCTGTGAACCGCATCAGATGGACAGATGTGAAACAGACACTCTGATGGGGACAGGGGTTCTCTAGGCAGGTGCCTGTCAGCCTCCTTCACAAGTAAAAACAGGCATGGAAGGCTGTTTCTCCTATCAGCAGGTGACAGTTCAGAGTCTAAGAAGTTGCCTTTTGTACCCCTTCCCTGCTCTGTACCATGATCTTGCCTTTTTCAAATAAGCTTTGAGCAATGTCTTTATTATCTGCCATATATCCGTCAACATACATGCCCCTGCAACATACATGTCCCCCCCCCCCGTTCCTAGGAGCTGGGAGTGGGAGGGAGCCGCTTGCTCGGTTCTTAACTTCTTTCTCGCTTAGCTCTGCTGTTATGCACCTGTACAGGTAAACCTGCCCAGCAGCTTAGAGTCCCAGGTTCTTACAGTTCAAGGGATCTTCCACCAGACAAGCCTTTTTCTCCTCCAGAATAATGTCCCTGACCTACTCTGAGTCATCATCAGTTTGAATATTCTGCAAGTGTGGAGGGAGGTACCCTCCTGGCTGGGCTGCCCATCCTGCAGTTGTTCTTTCTTGCACAGACATGTTTTTTGGTAAATAATACTTGTATTTCCTCACACTCATTTGTGCAACTTGTCCGAAGGATTTTCATCCTTCATAGAATGAATACGTTTTCTTTTTTGAGAGATTTTTATATATATATAGGGTACATGTGCTCACCAGAGAGACAGAGAGAGAGAGACAGAAAGTGAGAAATCACACCCCAGGGGTGATGACCTCACTGCAATCCCTTCTCCTCCATCCTCCTCTGGGATTTTGGCCCCGCATGCATACATGGCCAGCGTGAGTTGCAAGCTGTCTGGGTCCAGGACTCAAACAGCGATTGTCCACGTATTTGAGTGGACAGCACCTTAACCGCTATGCCACCTGCTGGCCCCTAGAATACGTGTTCAACAGTTTCTTTTGTGGATGGAAAATCTGCAGCTACTTCATCCATTCCACACATGACAAAATCAGCCCAGTGCTCATTGATCTGCTTGGGATAGCGTGTGTCCCCAACTCAACTCAGCAGGCGGTAGGTCCCCTCATGAAAAGAAAGGACAATGGATACTGCGCTTCTGCTAACTGAGGCTACAGGTGATGTGTTAAGGCTCTTGGTAGACATGACCTGCTTCTGACTGTCTTGAGACAGAGGCCACCAAACCCGCCATGGCTTCTTCGTGGACTCTTTCAGCCTAGGTTCCTGTGGCATGGTGCAGGACAGATTTCGTCTTCATAGTGTCGGATGTTTGCCTCTCTCCTGGCAGGATATTTTTTGGTTTTACTTTTTGCCTTGATTCTTGCTGGAATTCACATCACAGACTCTTCAAGCTTTTAAAATAATAGTAATCGTAAATAATAATAATCCTTTCTTTCGTGCAGACCTTAATAGTTTTCCAAACATTTTTACATACCTTATTTCCTTTGATTAAGAAGAATTATTCAGGGCCATCAGGTGGTATAGTGGTTAAGGTGCTGGACTCCCACATGGCTGACTGCAGTTCAAATCCTGGACCTGGAGGCTTGAAATTCACGCTACGTATGTGTGTATGCATGCCCAGGAGGAGAATGAAGGAAAAGGGATTGTGGCATGTCCATGCCCCCCTGGGGGTGATTTTTCACTTTCCCTCTCCTTGTCTCTCTCTGTCCCTCTCTTCTCCAGTGAATGCATGTGCCCTATGGCAAAAACCTTAAAACAAAAAATTAGCCAGGTCAGTCTTCTTTTCTTTAAAGAATTATTTATTTTTCTTTTTTGTTGTTTTTATTTTTATTTTTAAATTTGCTATAGGGAACATGTGCTCTCCAGAGAGAGACACACAGCGAGAAAATGAGAAAGCAAGCTGCCAGGTCCAGGACTCAAACCACGGTCGGCCATGTGAGAATTCAGCACCATGTGGGACTCCAGTGCCTTAAAGCACCACACCACCTGCAGGCCCCACCCAAAGGCAAACTTAACACCAAGTCTTATCGTGGATGTTTAAATGAGTGAACACACGTTTTTAAAAAGTTTATTAATTGATCTTTTCTGAGACAGTAGGGGTGGATAGGCACCTCCAACAGGTCTTTCTCCCAAGACCCACGCACCCCCCCACCCCCGCCATCTTCAGCCAGCCAGGATCGTAGGCACATAGGGACGTAGTATGTAGAGAGAGGTCCTGGGCCATGAACCCAGGAACTTTACATGTGAGTCTGGCCCAGTGCCAGGTGTTCTACACAGGAAGCAGGTATTCAACTTCCCGATGACTTCCATAGCTCTCCATTTTATCTCCCAATTCTGTGAAAAGGAGTTGTCTGTACCCTCCTGAAATGGAGAACCCAACAGATTAGTGTAGAGTCACATGGAGAGTATGTTTGTGGGAACAGAGGACAGGTCGGTATAAGCTGGGCTTGTTTGCTTCTCTTTCCCCTCTTATACCAGATTTCCTGATTTTCATATACTTCTAAGAATAAGATACTCTTGAGAACAAGGTTAAAAAAGCAATTAAAACCATGAGTTTAAAAATATTGTGCTTAGGGCCAGCAGATAGTATAATGATTACATTGCTGGACTCCCATGTAGTCGACCATGGTTTGAATCCTGGATCCAACAGCTTAAACCTCATGCTGGGGGCATTGTGTGTGCATGCTCAAAGTCTCAAGAGGAGAATGGAGGAGAAGAAGGGATTGTGGTGTGGCCATTCCCCTTGGGGAGTGATTTCTCACTTTCTGTC